ATGTTTATCACCCTGTAAAAGTGTCAATTCAAAGTTGATTAAAGACTTTAATATAAGACCTGAAGGTAGTACAGGAAAGAGCAAGTAATACACCAGAGGGAATAGGCATAGGCAATGACTTCCTCCGTAGAACTCAAGTGGCTCAGCAACTAAGAGAATGGATCATCAAATGGGATGACATCAAATTAAAATCTTCTGTAGAACAAAAGAAATGTTCTCTAAATTGAAGAGGCCAGCTGCAGAATGGGAGAAAATATTTGCTAGCTGTACATCTGACAAGGGGTTGATTATTAGAATATGCAGGAGCTCAAAAAACTAAACTCCCCAAAAAATCAATGATCCAATGAAGAAATGGGCAAATGAAATGGAACCTTTTCAAAAGATGTAGTCCAAATAGCTAAAAAAACATGAACAATGTTCACCATCCCTGGCTATAAAGAGCATGCAAACCAAAACCACATTTTGATTCCACTTACTGCTGTTGGAATAACTATCATGAAGAACACAAATGACAACAAAGGTTAGCAAAGATGAGGGGAAAAGAAATCCTCATACACTGCTGATGGGAATGTAAGCTAATACAACCATTATGGAAAACAGCATGGAGGCTCCTTAAGAAACTAAAACTAGACCTGCCATGTGATCCAGCAATACCACTCATAGGGATAAACCCCAAGGATTGTGAGACAGCTCACAACAAAGACAACTGCCCACCCATGTTTATTGCAGCACTATTCACAATAGCTAAGCTATAGAAACAGCCTAGGTGCCCCACAACTAATGAATGAATTAAGAAAATGTGGTATTTATATACAAAGGAATTTACTCAGTCACCAAGAAGAATGAAATTTTGTCACTCCCAGGAAAATGTATGGAATGGGAGAACATAATCTTAAATGAATTTACCAAGGCTCAGAAGGCCAAAAGTCGCATATTCGCTCTCGTTTGTGAACACATACCTAACACAAATGTAGCAATACTATGAAACATTGGTTACACTAAATTCAGGTCATGCACAAAAGGGGCAGAGAAACTAAGAACTTGAATAGGGATGATATATCAACCACAGAAGAAAACATAAGCTGACTGAGACTACCCTAAGAAAGGGAGTAAGTTAGAATGAAGAAAACTAGAGAAGATAAACCATTTGGGATTATAATACATACATAAATGGAAATATTACCGGTAAACTCCCTGTTTAACTACCTTTATTTCAGCTAACATGTCATGCTTTTCTTTTTATCTTTTCTTTTTTGTTGTCCTACAAAATTGGAGAAAAGGAGGGCATAAGAAGTCCAACTAAGAGATGAGTGCTGGCAACAGTGGGAGGGGGGAAGTGTTGGGGAAAGAGGGTAGGAGGGTGAATACCATGCAATAAAATGTACACACATGTAAGTAAATGCAAATAAAATACACCAGGAATTGGGGGAGGGAGAATGAAGGAAAATGGTTGAGGTGGAGGATTCATACATATTTGATACATTGTAAGAACCTGTGTAAAATGCCACAATGTACCTCTACCCATCACAACAATAAAGGAACAAAAGAAGATGGAATGATCTCCCATAGTAGCTGATCAGCAGAATAAACACTGATGAAATAGCTTTACAACCAGAAGTAATCTACATGTTCATTGCAATCCGTATCAAAATTCCAATGACATTCTTCACAGACATAGAAAAATCAATTCTAAAATTCAAATGTAAACACCAAAGACCTCAAATAGACAATGCAACTCTGAGAAAATGTCCAATGCTGGCAGTATCACAATCCCTGACATCAAAATATACTGCGTAGCCATAACAATAAAAATAACATGGTATTGGCACAAAACAGACATGAGCCAAGGGCACAGAGTAGAAGACCTAGACATAGACCCGCACAGTTAGAGTCAACCCACTTTTGACAAAGGAGCCCCAAACATATGGTAGAGAGAAGAGATCCTCTTTAACAAATATTGAGGGGAAAACTAGATATCCATATGTAGAGGATGGAAACATGACCACTGAGCTTCACTCTGTATTAATATCAACTCAATGTCAATTAAAGACCTTAACAGAAGGCCCAAACTTTGAAACAACTACAATAGATAGTAGGAAATACACTGGATCATAGCCAATGACTTTCTAAATAGAACACCAATGGTTCAGCAACTAAGGGAAAGTATGAACAAATGGGACTGAATCAAACTAAAATTCCCTTGCATCACATAAAAAAATAACAGTCATTAGGTTTTAGAGACTGCCCACTGAATGGGAGAAAATTTTTGCAAGCAATCCATCCCATAAGGGCCTTTTGTCCAAAATCTATAAGGAGTTCAAAAACTCAAACCTGAAGAACCAACATTGCAATGGAGAATTGGGCACATGAATTAAATAGGGAATTTTCAAAGGAAGACAAACAAAGGGCCAATAAATACATGAAGAAGTATTCAACAGATCTGGCAATAAAGAAGTACAAACCAAAAGTACACAAAGATTTCATCTCAGCCCAGTTTGAATGGCCATCCTCAAGAGCAAAAACAACAAAAATGATGGATGAGGATACTGTGAAATAGGGATTCTTAAACACTCTTAGTGAGAATGTAAATTAGTACAATCATTATGGAAATCAGTATGGAAATTCCTAAACAGGCCAGCAGTAGAACTATGATATGATCCAGTGATAACATACCTCAGCATATATCTTAAGGAATCTAATTCAGGATGCAGTGAGGACACTTGCACTGTTCACAATAGCCAAGCTATTTTTTTTCATTTTTCTTTTATTATTCATATGTGCATACAAGGCTTGGTTCATTTCTCCCCCCTGCCCCCACCCCCTCCCTTACCACCAACTCCACTCCCTCCCTCTCCCCCCCAATACCCAGCAGAAACTATTTTGCCCTTATTTCTAATTTTGTTGTAGAGAGAGTATAAGCAATAATAGGAAGGAACAAGGGTTTTTGCTGGTTGAGATAAGGATAGCTATACAGGGCATTGACTCACTTGATTTCCTGTGCATGGGTGTTACCTTATAGGTTAATTCTTCTTGAACTAACCTTTTCTCTAGTACCTGTTCCCCTTTTCCTATTGGCCTCAGTTGCTTTAAGGTATCTGCTTTAGTTTCTCTGCATTAAGGGCAACAAATGCTAGCTAGTTTTTTAGGTGTCTTACCTATCCTCACCCCTCCCTTGTGTGCTCTCGCTTTTATCATGTGCTCATAGTCAATCCCCTTGTTGTGTTTGCCCTTGATCTAATGTCCACATATGAGGGAGAACATACGATTTTTGGTCTTTTGGGCCAGGCTAACCTCACTCAGAATGATGTTCTCCAATTCCATCCATTTACCAGAGAATGATAACATTTCGTTCTTCTTCATGGCTGCATAAAATTCCATTGTGTATAGATACCACATTTTCTTAATCCATTCGTCAGTGGTGGGGCATCTTGGCTGTTTCCATAACTTGGCTATTGTGAATAGTGCCGCAATAAACATGGATGTGCAGGTGCCTCTGGAGTAACAGTCTTTTGGGTATATCCCCAAGAGTGGTATTGCTGGATCAAATGGTAGATCGATGTCCAGCTTTTTAAGTAGCCTCCAAATTTTTTTCCAGAGTGGTTGTACTAGTCTACATTCCCACCAACAGTGTAAGAGGGTTCCTTTTTCCCCGCATCCTCGCCAACACCTGTTGTTGGTGGTGTTGCTGATGATGGCTATTCTAACAGGGGTGAGGTGGAATCTTAGTGTGGTTTTAATTTGCATTTCCTTTATTGCTAGAGATGGTGAGCATTTTTTCATGTGTTTTCTGGCCATTTGAATTTCTTCTTTTGAGAAAGTTCTGTTTAGTTCACTTGCCCATTTCTTTATTGGTTCATTAGTTTTGGGAGAATTTAGTTTTTTAAGTTCCCTGTATATTCTGGTTATCAGTCCTTTGTCTGATGTATAGTTGGCAAATATTTTCTCCCACTCTGTGGGTGTTCTCTTCAGTTTAGAGACCATTTCTTTTGATGAACAGAAGCTTTTTAGTTTTATGAGGTTCCATTTATCTATGCTATCTCTTAGTTGCTGTGTTGCTGGGGTTTCATTGAGAAAGTTCTTACCTATACCTACTAACTCCAGAGTATTTCCTACTCTTTCTTGTATCAACTTAAGAGTTTGGGGTCTGATATTAAGATCCTTGATCCATTTTGAGTTAATCTTGGTATAGGGTGATATACATGGATCTAGTTTCAGTTTTTTGCAGACTGCTAACCAGTTTTCCCAGCAGTTTTTGTTGAAGAGGCTGCTATTTCTCCATTGTATATTTTTAGCTCCTTTGTCAAAGATAAGTTGCTTATAGTTGTGTGGCTTCATATCTGGATCCTCTATTCTGTTCCACTGGTCTTCATGTCTGTTTTTGTGCCAGTACCATGCTGTTTTTATTGTTATTGCTTTGTAATATAGTTTGAGGTCAGGTATTGTGATACCTCCTGCATTGTTCTTTTGACTGAGTATTGCCTTTAGCCAAGCTATCTATGCAGACAACCTGTATAAATCAGTTTCACGTTTATATTCACAATACATAATGTATTTGAGCAAATACAAATATACTACATTACTTCCTCTGGCCACTGATTCCAATCCTCCCCATTACTAGCAGTTCAAGGTAAGTAGAAAACTTCTTTATGTTGTTGTTGATGTACTGAAATATTTTAGCATAGAGGAATTTGAAATGTGCCCATAGTGTCTAGGCATGCAAAACCAGTAGAACCATGAGAACCAGCAGGCCATGAAAGCTGGGGGGAGAGGACTTTAGCTCTTGCTGTGAGGGTCCTACAAGACAGGTAGATGAACAAGAGAAGCATGAGAACATTTAAGAACATGATAAGCACAAAGAAAGAGATGTCTATCTGGAACAGCAAGAGAAATAAGCCTGTGCTTCTCAAAAACCATTTCCAAGGTAGCGGTGGTATAGAAATCACAACATCAGGTCCTTTGGTCATCTGTCCAGGGTTCACTGCTTCATTACTTCTACTTACCTGGATGGTTATTGGCTGTTTCTTCTTTCTTCCTTTTCCGTGGATCTTTTCTTTGCTCCAGACAGTTGACTAAGTCTGATTTAGAGACAATGAGAAAAAGGAATATGAGTCTTAGTGGTGATTTTGTAGGATGTTCTGGGATTTCTGTCCAAACACTGTGCTCAATAGAAAAGAAACAATAGCAAAGAAGAATGTAGAAATTCATTCTATCAAAACATTATTTCCTGACAGGTTCTTTATAATATTTAAAAAGCATCTTCAATTTTTTTTCTTTCTTTTTTTGAAAGTGGCTATTTTAAAAATCTTTTTATTTTCATCATATTATTGCTGTACTGGGAGTAGGTTGTCATATTGATACAGTATTTATAACTTATCTCAGTTAAATTCATCCCCTCCATCATTCTCCTTGCCCCACTCCCCTCATTCTAAGAATAATTTCAACAGGTTTCATTTTCCATTTTGATATCTGAGTACATAATTTTTCCACAATATTCACCCTGTTACACCTTTTCCTTAATCTTCCCTCCCACTGGTCCCTGACAATAAAGCCTATGAATTGCCTTCTTTGAATGAATTGTATGTTCTCCATTGATGTTGATATTATTCCCCTAAGAAGAATTTTCTATAGCACTAATCCAGAGGGCCCTTCACACCCAAATCTTTGTGTGAACACTTACTAACACTATTGTGTCCTAGGGGAGAACAAAAATCAACATCCTAAAATATCACATTCTTTTCTGCCCTTTTATATATTACTAAAGGTCAGAGAAGGCAGATATGTCTGAATAAGTCTGCTTTTGTAAAAGAATATTAATGAAATGTTCATTGAGCATGTACTATGTGATCACGAATATGTCATTGTACACTGGACTGAAAACCTCTAATATATTCTGAGTTCATTTTCATAATCTTCTGAGAGGTTAGTTTTTCATTATTTCCTGTGAGTATTCTTATATGAACATCCACCTTTCTGCCAGTGTCTTTGGTTCTATTTGTTTCATTTTCTTTGTGTATGTTCACAGGAGTGAGAGTATGAGAACATAAGATAGTACTAGCTTTCATTTTTTGAGAAATGTCCGTTTTCTATTCACATCCTCATCTAAAGTTATTTTTGTGTTTTTGATAATAGTTATTAGGGTTGTGACATGATTTCCCATTGATTCTGATTTCACTTTCTGATGACTATTGATATTGATATGCTCATTATTTACATGAATTCTGGACATAAATGTGCACTTAGACCTTTAGCCCTTTTAAAATATGGCTTCTTGCCTAATGAGTTTTACTAGTGCTTTATACATTTTATGTGGGCTGTGAAACTATTTCCTTTCATTCGTGGACAAAAAAAAATACAGAAATGTGAATCTCATGACAAAGCTTGTTGTTGTGCTCTGCTGATTGTTTCTTTTGTTCAAGAGAAGTTTCTTAGTTCAATTTAGTTCTTGTGTCAATTTTTGTTTTGGTTGCCTGTACATTTGGGTCAGATGAAAATATCTTTGTTCAAATGAGCATTCTGAAGGTTTTCTTCCAGTAGTCAAAGTTTGGGGTCTTATATTTCAATCATAGCTGCAACTTCAGTAGATAATTATAATTGTTTAAAGAAAGGGGACAATTTCTTTCTTTTTCATTTTTTCCTAATACAATTTACTGAAAAAAGGTTGCTCTTTCTCCATGTTGTAGTATGTTTTCCGCAATAAAAAGCATTTTGTTTAAAATACCAGTGTTTACCTGTGGGCTCTCTACTCTGATTTTCTTTAGAGCATTGTAATTTTTTATTGTTTTATTATTCATATGTGCATACAAGGCTTGGGTCATTTCTCCCCCCTGCCCCACCCGCTCCCTTACCACCCACTCCGCCCCCTCCCTCTCCCCCCCAACCTCTCAATACCCAGCAGAAACTATTTTGCCCTTATTTCTAATTTTGTTGTAGAGAGAGTATAAGCTGTAATAGGAAGGAACAAGGGTTTTTGCTGGTTGAGATAAGGATAGCTATACAGGGCATTGACTCACATTGATTTCCTGTGCGTGGGTGTTACCTTCTAGGTGAATTCTTTTTGATCTAACCTTTTCTCTAGTTCCTGGTCCCCTTTTCCTATTGGCCTCAGTTACTTTTAAGGTATCTGCTTTAGTTTCTCTGCGTTAAGGGCAACAAATGCTAGCTAGTTTTTTAGGTGTCTTACCTATCCTCACCCCTTCCTTGTGTGCTCTCGCTTTTATCACGTGCTCAAAGTCCAATGCCCTTGTTGTGTTTGCCCTTGATCTAATGTCCACATATGAGGGAGAACATACGATTTTTGGTCTTTTGGGCCAGGCTAACCTCACTCAGAATGATGTTCTCCAATTCCATCCATTTACCAGCGAATGATAACATTTCATTCTTCTTCATGGCTGCATAAAATTCCATTGTGTATAGATACCACATTTTCTTAATCCATTCGTCAGCGATAGGGCATCTTGGCTGTTTCCATAACTTGGCTATTGTGAATAGTGCTGCAATAAACATGGGTGTGCAGGTGCATCTGGAGTAACCTGAGTCACATTCCTTTGGGTATATCCCTAAGAGTGGGATTGCTTGATCATATGGCAGATCTATGTTTAGATTTTAAGATGCCTACATACTGTTTTCCAGAGCAGTTGTACTAGCCAGCATTCTCACTAGCAGTGTATGAGGGTTCCTTTTTCCCACATCCCCACCAACATTTGTTGTTGATGGTGTTTTTGATGGTGGCTATTCTAACAGGGGTGAGGTGGAATCTTAGTGTGGTTTTGATTTGAATTTCCATTATGGCCAGAGATGGTGAGCATTTTTTCATGGGTGTTTTGGCCATTTGGATTTCTTCTTTTGAGAAAGTTTTGTTTAGTTCAGTGGCCCATTTCTTTATTGGTTCATTGATTTTGGGGGAATTTAGTTTTTTGACCTCCCTGTATATTCTTGTTATCCGTTGTTTGTCTGATGTATAGCTGGCAAATATTTTCTGCCACTCTGTGGGTGGTCTCTTCTGTTTAGAGACCATTTCTTTTGTTGTGCAGAAGCTTTTAAATTTTGCATAGTTCCATTTGTCCATGCTTTCTCTTAGTTGCTGAGCTGCTGGTGTTCTGTTGAGGAAGTCCTTGCCTATACTTATTGCTTCCAGAGAATTCCCTGATCTTTCCTGTACTAACCTCAGAGTTTTGGGTCTGATATTAAGGTCCTTGATTCATTTTGAGTTGATACTAGTATAGGGTGATAAACATGGATCTAGTTTCAGTTTTCTGCAGGCAAATAACCACTTTTTCTAGCATCATTTGTCGAAGAGGCTGACTATTTTCCATTGTATGTTTTTGGTGCTTTTGTCAACAATAAAGTGGGCATAGCTGTGTGGATTCATATCTGGATCCTCTATTCTGTTCCACTGGTCTTCATATCTGTTTTTGTGCCAGTACCATGCTTTTTTATTGCTATTGCTTTATAATATAGTTTGAAGTTGGGTATTGTGATACTTACAGCATTGCTCTTTTTGCTAAGTATTGCCTTGGCTTTTTATGGTCCCTTGTGTTTCCAGATGAATTTTAGGGTAGATTTTTCAATCTCTGTGATGAATGTCATTGGGATTTTGGTGGCAATTGTGTTGAAATGTAAATTGCTTTTGGTAGTATAGCCATTTTTACTATGTTGATTCTACCAATGCATGACCACTGAAGATCTTTCCACCTTCTGCAGTCTTCCTCAATCTCTTTGTTCAGATGTTTGTAGTTTTCCTTACAGAGGTCATTCACCTACTTTGTTAAGTTTACTCCTAAACATTTGCTGTCTTTGGAGGCTATTGTAAATGGAATTGTTTTCATATACTCTCTTTCAATTTGTTCATTGTTGGTGTATAGAAAAGCTAATGATTTTTGTAAGTTGATTTTGTATCCTGCCACCTTGCTGAAGATGCTTATGGTGTCTAGGAGGTTTGGGGTAGAGTTTTTGGGTCTTTGAGATACAGGATCTTGTTGTCTTCAAGTAGGGATATTTTGACAGTTTCTTTACTTATATCTATTTCTTCTTCTTGCCTTATTGCTCTGATAGGAATCAGGACTATGTTGAGTGGGACAAGTAGGCACCCTTGTCTCATCCTGATTTTAGGGGAAATAGTTTCAGTTTTACTCCATTAAGTATGAAGTTGGCTATAGGTTTGTCATATATAGCCTTTGTAATGTGAAGGTACATTCTTTCTATTCCTAGTTTTCTTAATGTTTTTATCAAGAAGTGGTGTTGAATCTATTCAAAGGCTTTTTCTGCATCTATTGAGATGATCAAGTGGTTTTCATCTTCCCTTCTATTAATGTGCTGTATTACATTTATAGATTTGCATATGTTGAGCCACTCCTGCATCCCTGGGATGAAGCCAACTTGGTTGTGGTGTATCATCTTTCTGATATGTTGTTGGATTCTGATTGCCATTATTTTGTTGAGGATTTTTACATCAATGTTCATTAAGGAGATTGGCCTATAGTTCTTCTTTTTGGAGGTGGCTTTGTCTGGTTTTGGACTAAGTGTAATACTGGCTTCCTAGAATGAGTTAGGCAGTGTTCCTTCCCTTTCTATTTCATGGAAACATTTGAGGAGAGTTTGTATTGGTTCTTCTTTAATGGCCTTATAGAATTCAGCAGAAAATGCATTATGTCCTGGACTTTTCTTTTTTGGGAGATTCTTTATTTCTGCTTCAATTTCATTTTGTGTTATAGATCTGTTTAGGTGGTTGACATCTTCTTGAATCAATTTTGGATGATCATAAGTATCTAGAAATTTGTCCGTTTCTTCAAGATTTTCCAATTTATTGGAGACAGTTTCTCAATGTAGTCTCGAATGATTCCCTGGATTTCCATGGTGTCTGTTTTTATCTCCCCTTTTGCACTTCTGATATTACTGATTTGGGGGTTTTTCTCCTCATTTTAGTAAGATTTGCCAGGGGCCTGTCAATGTTGTTTATTTTTTCAAACAACCAGATTTTGTTTCATTGACTATTTGTATGGTTTTTTCATTAGTTTCTGGCCTTATTTTTTATTATTTCTCTCCTTCTGCTTGTTTTGGGTTTTGCAGGGAATACTTG